GCCCGAGAGATACGGTTATCTCCTGACTTAATATGGTGACGTACTAGTCTACTAAGATGATGAACCCAGAACCTACGAAGACGCTATATCGGATCCAGATTCTATTAAATGACTTGAAGCCATGAAATCTGAGATGGACTCCATGTACCAAAACCAAGTATGGTCTCTGGTGAAACCACCTGAAGGGGTAAAACCCATAAGGTGTAAATGGGTCTTCAAGAAGAAGACTGACATGGATGGCAAGGTGCATACTTATAAGGCATGATTAGTTGCCAAAGGTTTCAAACAAATTCATGGTATTGACTATGATTAAATCCATCCGGATTATGCTTGCGATTGCTGCATATCATGACTATGAGATTTGGCAAATGGATGTCAAAACAACTTTCTTGAACAGAAACCTTGAAGAGGATGTGTATATGACACAACCCGATGGTTTTGTTCTTGATGGGCAACCCGATGGTTTTATTCTTGATGGGCAACCCGATGGTTTCGTTCTTGATGGGCAACCCGATGGTTTCGTTCTTGATGGGCAACCCGATGGTTTCGTTCTTAATGGGCAACCCCATATATGGACTTAAGCAAGCTTCTAGGAGCTAGAACATTCGTTTTGATGAAGCCGTAAAAGAATTCAGTTTTATCAAGAACGAAGATGAGCCATGTGTTTACAAGAAAGTGAGTGGGAGCGTAGTGGCATTCCTAGTGTTGTATGTCGATGACATACTTTTGATCGGGAATGACATACCGAACTTACAGTCGGTAAAGACTTGGTTATCCAAGTGCTTCTCCATGAAGGACATAGGGGAAGCAACCTACATCCTTGGAATAAAGATCTATCATGATAGATCACGTAGGTTGCTTGGCCTTAGTTAGAGTGCATATATTGATAAAGTACTGAAAATATTCAGTATGGAAGAATCCAAGAAGGGACTTCTTCCAATGTCACATGGTGTTTATCTCTCTAAGGAATTGTGTCCTAGAGCATAAGATGAGAGAGATAGGATGAAGAAGATCCCATATGCATCAGTAATTGGATCCATCATGTATGCCATGTTATGTACTCGGATTGATGTCTCATGTGCTTTGAGCACTTGTAGTAGATATCAATTGGATCTAGGTGAGCGTTACTAGATGGCTGTCAAGAATATTCTTAAGTACCTGAAGAGGACTAAGGATATGTTCTTGGTTTATGGAGGGGAAGAGAAGATGAGCTCACTGTAAGAGGATATAGTGATGCTAGTTTCCAAACAGATAAAGATGATTATTGATCGCAATCAGGTTTGTATTTTGTCTCAATGAGGGTACAGTGAGCTGGAAGAGCTCCAAGCAAAGCACTATAGCGGACTATATAATGGAGGCTGAGTATATTACATTGTCAGATGCGACGAAAGAGGCTGTCTGGATTAAGAAGTTTGTTACTGAACTTGGTGTGTGACAACAATGGGGTAATTGCTCAAGCCAGGGAACCACGGTCTCATCAAAAGTCCAGACACATACTCAGACGATTCCATCTCATTAGACAGATAGTTGAGAGGAAAGATGTGCAGATCAGTAAAGTGCATACTGACGACAATCTCGCAGATCCACTGACAAAGTCTCTGTTAGAGCGGAAGCATGAAAGCACTTGAGATCATTTGGTATTAAATACATGAATGATTGGCTATAGTGCAAATGGGAGATTGTTAGAGTAGATGCCCTAGAGCCAATCAGTTATTGTAGAATTGACTTTTTTTAATAATGTTCATTGATCAATAAACGACATTTTATTCTATATCGCGTAAATCATCATTCTATGTATTGATATATGTCCATAGAATAGTAGAACCATGACGACGGTATCAAGTGTTTCAAATCTTCATAGTGAGAACCCTAAGAGCACATATGGTGGTTATTCTAGAAACGTCTGTAGCCCTAGTATTATTCTGAAGTAAGGGCACAAATAATATGGCAAGGCTATCATAGTGTTGAACAACCCTGTCAAAAGGCAGTGACTGATCTCACTTGTCAAGGTTGTTTGGTGACAACCTGGTGCAACACATAGGTGTTTGTTGTAGGCAAGTTCACTAGACTGACCCACCAGAGGATTCCATATGGATGGTAACCCCAGTTTCAATGGAACAAATCCTCTAATGAATGGTGATGCATGTGATCCTTAGACTTGAGATCACCGGAGCGCCTTGTACACCGAGTTACACTAGCCTAATGCAGTTCTATTCAGAGTTGTCAATACGGTGGTAATTTGCTACATCAAGGAGTATATCAAGACTATGGTAGATAGACAAAGGATTCATAACTCCCGGGTACGGGAGAAGTTATCTCACGGCGCAATTCAGTAAATGGCAATGACACTAAAACTATGGCCACAGTGGGATTGGGTTGTTGCTCTATCCAGTTTATAACACATGTCATTGGTCCAGTAACTGAATACACAATATCGAGAGTAACCGAAGGTTGACACTATTTATATGCCTCAGTCTCGTTGAGATAACGGATGATGAAATGATCGGATTGTACGGTAACCATATCGTTGACAGGTAGCTGTTTCGCTAAATCCGAATCTATCGGGTGGCCATGATGTCTTGCTAGTGGCCAATCTTGGTCTGTGTGTAGTGAGACGATTAATTGGTGTTAATCGCGATACTACACACTACCAGTATGATGAGGAGCCTATGGGTCACACACATAGAAGATAATTTAAGAGCCAGCTTAGAAGAAGGGTGTTTTCATCTTTTTAGGCGAAAGGGTATTTTGGTAATTTCACAGTGCAATTAAATTTGCTGAGGTCATAGCCTTTATTTAATTTGATATTAAAATTAAATAAGTGAGATTACGTTTAAATATGTGCTCGCATATATTTAAATAAATTATCATTACTGTTAAATGTTAATATATATATATATATATTGTAATATATATTAATTGAATTTAATTGAGATAATGATAAATTAAAATTAAAAATATCTTAAAGGGGGTGTTTGGAAACAAGGGATGTTTGGGTTAGAGCCCAAGCCCATTCCATGATGGAATAGAGTATAGTGTGCACTTATATAGTGCACACTTTGTGAAATATTAAATTGATTCATTCATTTCATTGAAAACAAATATTCCAGCCCCTTTTTCTTCTCTCTCACGCCAGATTTCTTTTTGTTTGAAGAAAATATTTCATTTGGTTTTCATCTTGGTTCTTAAAGGCTAAAGAGGATCTAGCAAATCCCTCTTTAGTTCCTTGAGGTTGTCTTCGTGTGGACTACATTGGTTCGATCCTACACTTGGGTCGGTAGTGAAACCCATTCCGAGACAAATTGAAGGAGCCTCCAAACGTGGGTATGATTTATAAACCTTTAAACTAATTTTCTGCAGATTCGATTATAATGTATAAACTGTAATTTTTGTACCCTGATCCTGGTTCTAAGGAATGATCTATCATGTAATTTTTTGGTTTCCGCTGCCATAAAATGATCATTTCCTAACAAGAGTAGTAATTAAGCAAAACAATTGTGATCCAAGCTTCTGTTGATTGTTTAAAAGAAACGTGAAATGAATTAAATAATTTGACACTTGTTCGATTATTATTCATCTTTAACTACTTCCTAATTTGTAATGCTATCAGTAAATTCATAAGGATTGCATAATACCAAGTGGTTTATTGATAAGAATTACTTTGTATACTAGGCTCAGCTTAAAGAACTTAGGGAAGATAAAGATTGCCTGGCTTCTTGATAATCTTTGGTTAAATATTCAATTAAAGAATAATATATATTAGAAGTCAGTGATCAGTTTGCAACCGTGGGTAATTTTCCTTGAGTCGAAATCATTTTTTTATTAAATTCTCTTTACTTAATTCCTGCTAGTAGTAATTACGCTTGTGTTAATTAATTTTCGAAGTAAAATTTCCTCCTTTTTATTTCATTAATTCATTGTGATATTAAGTTGGGTAATCTGATTGGATAGTCTCTGTGGATCAACCTATACTTAATGTGATTACAAGTTGTGAGTAGAGTAATTTAATTTTTGGTTGCGCTCAGCATGCATCAAAATTTTGGCATTGTTGCCGAGGACTAGTTATAATTAGATTCGGTGTTCTTATTATTTTTATTGTTCTATTTAGTGATTTATAACATTAGTCAGTGTAATTAGTGTCATTCTTACCTTTGTTTGTGAAGAATTGTGATTTGTAGGGTATCTAAAAAAAAAAAAAAATTTGGTAGTACTGTTCACGATAGGATTTTCGGTGGAATTAGGATTGTTGTGAATACCCGTTTCGAAGGAAACAAAATTCTGCACATGACTGGGTAATCCATTAAGGATTCACTAGCCCACCCTCTCGAGGGCAAAAAACAACGTTTGATAGGGTTTTGGGCCATAAAAATAATTTTTTTAGATTTTCTAGCCGGTTTTCATTATATGTCATTTATTTTTTTTTCTTTTTTTACGTGATTTTTTATTTTATGACCAAGTCCTCTCATCTTGGTGACTTAACATTCAACCCAAAGATTGAACGAACTGCACGCAGGTTGAGGAAATAGGCTCGGTAGAATCGAGAGCAAGCTATTCTTTCATCGCCTAGCATCAACATAGCCCTTGATTTAACATCTAACAGTTCGTTTAGTGACACAAAAGAAGAGGGAGTCATGGAAAATAATAACAAAACATTAAAGGAGTCGGTTGCCCCTAATTTGAATCAACTGCCTTTGTGTATTGAGTACCCTAACTTAGATGTTGCATTTGTGTTAAAGTCAGGACTAATACATTTGTTACCTACCTTCCGTGGTTTTGTAGTTGAGGATCCTCATAAGCATTTGAAGGAATTTCATGTGGTGTGTTTAAGTATGAGGCCACAAGGTATCTCAGATGAGCAAGTAAAGCTATAGGCTTTTCCTTTCTCCTTGGCAGATTCGGCTAAGGAATAGTTGTATTATCTTCCATCGGGGTCAATTAACTCCTAGAATGAGATGAAGTGGCTTTTTTTAGAGAAGTTCTTTCCTACTTCACGAGCTAACAATATCAGGAAGGAGATCTGCTGCATTAAATAATATAACGAAGAGATCTTGTATGAGTACTGGGAGCGCTTCAAGAAATTGTGTGCAAGCTGCCCACACCATCAAATACCTTATAAGCTCTTAATCCGGTATTTTTACGAGGGCCTATTACCAATGGATAGGAGTATGGTGGATGATGCCAGTAGAGGTGCACTGGTTAACAAAGCACCTGAAGCTGCTAAGAATTTGATTTCCAACATGGCAGCCAATTCTCAACAATTTGGGACAAGGATGGATCATACACCAAACAAAGTTAATGAAGTCCATGCTTCTAGCATTGAATGTCAACTTTCATATTTAACTTCTTTAATGAGGCAAATGGTAGTAAATAATGTGCAAGTTGCTAAGGTGTGTGGAATTTGTTCGATTGTTGGTCATGCTACAAATATGTGTCCAAGCTTGCAAGAAGAAGAGCCAATCCAACAAGCCAACGTGATTGGTGGTTTTCCAGGGTAGTGCTAGGAAACGATCTAACTAATGGCAACGAAAAACAAAACTTTTAAACCATAGACCGATTCCTTTAAACCAAGATTAGGGCACATATTATATAGTTTATATGTTAAATAAAAAATCTGCAGTAATATGAACGATTAGAGTAAAGTTTAGAGTTCATACGCACATTTAGAGGCTCCTTCAAACTCGTCTCTAAATCTTTTCGCCACCGATCCAAGAACAGGATCGAACCAGCGATAATCCACATGAAGATAACCTGAAGAGCTAAAGAGGGATTTGCTAGATCCTCTTTAGCATCAAGAACCAAATCAAGAATCAAAGAGAATTTGATTCAATGGACAAGGGTGGCGTGAGATTTAGAGAGAAATAGGGGTTGATTCCTTTTATTCAAATGAGTGAAAAAAATGAACTTCAGTTAATTTCTCTCAATACACATGCACTTATATAGTGCATGTGTAAAACCCTATTCCAATGAGAAATTGGCTTGGGCTCCAACCCAAACAACCCTTATATCCAAACACTCCCAATCATGATATTTTATTTTAATTATTATTATTTCCAATTAAACTCAATTAATATATTTATAGAAATATATTAACATTTAACAATAATAATAATCCATTTAAATATATGTGTATATATATTTAAATATAATCTCACTTATTTAATTACACTATGAGATTACCAAAATATCCTTTCGCCCTAAAAGACAAAAACGCCCCTTGCACAAACTAATTCTTAAATTATCTTCTATGTGTGTGACCCGTAGGCTCTTCATCATACCGGCAGTGAGTAGTATCGTGATTAACACCTATTAATCGTCTCACTACATGCATACCAAGATTGGCCCTTAGCAAGGCATCATGGCCACCCGATATATTCGAATTTAGCAAAATAGCTACCTGTCAACGATATGGTTACCATGCAATCAAATACTTTCATCATCTGTTATCTCATTGAGACTGGGGTATAGAAATAGTGTCAACCTCAGTTTACTCTCGATATATTTGTATTCAGTTACTAGACCAATGACCGGAATAATGAATTAGATTGAGCAACAACTTAATCCCACTGTGATCACAGATTTATTGTCGTTGTCATTAACTGAATTGCGTCGTGAGATAACTTCTCTTGCACCCAGGAGTGATGGATCATCTGTCGATCCACCATAGTCTTGATACACTCCTCGATGCAACCAATCACTACTGCATTGATAGCTCTGAATAGAACTACGTTGGCTAGTGTCAAACTACACCAATCAGTGCATGTAATGACTTCTTTCTACTAGTATACTTTATAACATATACAATAAAAACATACATACTTAGCATATGAAAAATAGTTGGGCCCAAATTTTCTTTACTTATAAAATATAATTCTTTACTTATAACATATAATTCTTTATATATACCAAAATAACAAGTACAAAAACTTTAGCAACGGTGGACAGTAATGCCAATTCTCTCCGCTTGTCGACTTCCTTCTGACCGCTGCTCACCTATTTCCTGCAAAACATGGAAAAAACAACGGGGTGAGCACAAAAATGCTCAGTAAGTAAAATCCTTACTATGCTAGCCCGATAACTCTCTCTCTCTAATTTTCCTTACAACTCCTCGTTCAATTTTCTTGGGTACTTCTCTCTTTTCTCTTCTCTTTCTCTTTCTTCTAGAACTTTCTTCATTACCTCTTAGTAAGTCACGACCCATCTTATCGGGGGGACGGCGGGACATCGCTCCCCTCTACGTGACCCTCTACTAATTCTAGCCGATCGGACGCGGTTATGCATGGATTCGGAACCCTTGGCCATGTGAGTCTATAATCTCTCTCTCGGGTTACTCGGGTATAGCCCTCATCCGCATGCACTCTCACGGGCTACACCACTTCTCTATCTGATACTCATGCCGCTCTCTCAATGCGGCGTACATGCGGGAATACTACCATTACCCACGGGTTCCCATCGCACAACCTACTCTATTCTCTTTCTTTAACTTTAAGTAGCTTATACTCAAATTCTCTACTAAATCTCAAGCTGCTTCTCAGTGTATAAACAAAGGTGTAGAGCTAGCTCATGCTCCTAATGCACTAATGAATAATGCCAACTACAAGTTTCCTCAAAACCGCATTCTGCCCAGGTCATACTAAAAACGGCCATAACTTGTGCTGTACACCTCGGATTGCTACGGTTTGGTCTCGTTTAAAGCTTAAAAACAGGGCTACATCTTTGATGTTTTGGTCTCAACCAGTTCAAAACCGAAGATGTCCAAAACTTACTTAGAAAGTTATGGCAGTGACAGGGCAAATTCACTTAGGCATTTCATCAAACAACTCATGGCATATAAACACTCTACTAAAATTCTACTTACTTCATTCTCTAGCCATCAAAATGGAGAAAACTCCCAAATAATCATAACTCCTGTCAAGAAAGCACTCCCAAAAAGCTTCACAAAACATCTCTCAAACTCATCAAATCTATTCTCAATACACATTAAAACACTACTCATACATGGAATCTATCCAACAACTACAAAAAATAGCTACTCCCAATTCAATTTTCCATTAATCAACTAATACTGAATGCATACATCTCTACACAAAAAGCTTGTTTAAAACTAAGTTGGTTGGATTTACTTACCTTGTGCAAAGATGACTTCTTTAGCACTTTTCCTTCCTTTGTGGTCTTGTCTCTTCTCTACAACTCAAACAACCAAGGAAAGCAAACAACCAAATAAGGACCTCACTACAATATAGAAAACTCACATCTAAAGTATGAATTTACCTTAGGAGGCTTTAGATGAAATCTCTACTCAAAACCCCTCTTAATTCCCTTGGAAATCTTGGGAGGATTGGATGGAGAAATTGAGAGAAAATGGGCAAATGGAGAGGCGGTGGGGGAATATGAAGAATAAAGGGTTTTCTCTACTCTTGACCCTTTTTAGTTCATATATAAGCATCCTTTCCCATTTTGCCCTGCTCTTCTTGAAAATTATCTATACTTTTGATTCTTTACAATACACCCCCATCTGAACAAATCTCTACTAATTTCCTTTCATTTTACTCCCCACTTTTCCTACTAATAGGGGTAGAATGGTCATTATGCCCCAAAAGAAGAATTCTCTAGAAAACTCAAGAAAACTTGTCTTAGGCTCGTCGCCGCGGCGAAGAACTTTGCGTCGCACGGCGAAACAGGGCAAGAACCTACCCGTGGGTGCATACCTCCTCGCCGCGGCGAAGCTTCTTCTTGCCCCGGCGCGAAGATTGGTTTCAACTTCACCAAAACTCAACCAATTTCAGGCAACAATTCAACCAACTAAAATACAAACTCAATTAAAGTGAAACAATAAACTTTAACTAATACAACAAATTTAAAACGTACCTCAAGTGGGATATTCACACACGTTTGTGGCTACCTAACGGATTACTTTTAATTGAGGTGCCACCAAAATAACAGGTTGGTGATTTGTGGAGGCATCACTAGAATAGTCTCTTTATTACATATCTTTCTATAAATTCTCACCATATTATATATAAATTTATTTATTTAAAAAATACAAAATAAATTACTAATTAATTATAGTAATTTGTGTAGATTTACCATCTATAAGTTGAACAATGTTTAAAACCCAACTTAGGGTAAAAAGCCGGCAAAGTGGTTTGGGTCCTGGTTGACCGATTTAACCAGTTTAACTGGTGGGTCAAACCAGTGTCCAAAGGTTTGAATGTAATGACTTTTTTCTACTAGTATACTTTAGAACATATACAATAAAACCATACATACTTAGCATATGAAAAATAGTTCGGCCCAAATTTTATTTACTTATAAAATATAATTCTTTACATACATCAAAATAACAAGTACAAAAACTTTAGCAACGGTGGACAGTAATGCCAATTCTCTCCGTTTGTCAACTTTCTTCTGACTGTTGCTCACCTATTTCTTGCAAAACATGGAAAAAACAACGGGGTGAGCACAAAAATGTTCAGTAAGTAAATCCCTTTATCTTTTCTCCTTCTTTGATTCTTTCCTTACTTAATTCTCTTCTTCTTTCTTTCGTTCCTAGTTCTTTCTCTTTTTTGTCTCTGTTTCTAATTCTTACTGTTATTTCTTTCTTCCTAATTCTCGTTGTTCTTTCTTTCTCTCTGTTCTTTCTTTCTATTTTTTATATTCTTTCTAACCATGATAGAATTCATGGTAATATACATGAATGATATGTAGGGGTGTGCAAAACCGGATATCCGATTCGGTTTTTCATTTTTCTGATCTGATCCGAAAATTCGGATCAGGATGAAACCTGATCCGAATTTGATCCGGATTTCGTCTGATCCGGTTTTATCTGAATTTGTATGAAAAATATCAATTTATCCCCTAAAATTTTGCATTATTCTTATTACCCCCTACTACATCATCATTTTATTACATTTTGACCCCCAAAGTTGTCATCGCATTTCTAAATAGTCCACATAATTTACCACTTTTCACCTAGGACCGCAAAATAACTTCTTAAAACTTGTAGTTATGGACAAAATCGGATCGAATCCAAATATCCAGTTTCTTTGTGGAGCCGATCTGAAATCTGGATATTCTAAAAATTGATATCCGAATCCGATCCGAATTTTCGGATATCCAGTTTTTTTGGATCAGATCGGATACGGACCGGATATCGGATTTTTTTGTATACCCCTAATGATAATGCATAAAAATGCATATGCAATAATGCATTTTTCTTTCTTCTTTCTTCTTTCTTATTCTATTTCTTTTCTTTTCTTTCTTCTTTCTTATTCTATTTCTTTTCTTTTCTTTCTTGTCTTGCTTGCTCAAGCTTCTCTTTTCTTTCTTTTTCTTGTTCTTTCTTATTCTTTCTTTTCTTATTTTTTGCCGATCGAACTCTGTTGATGCATGGATTTGGAATCTTAGCCGTGTGAGTGCGTACAATCCTCATCTATATGCACTCTTGCTGACCGTACAAATTCTTTCTTTCTTCTTAGGTCACTCAATTAAGGTGGCGTGCATGTAGGAATTCTTCTTGGTACAACCCTCATCCACATACACTCTTATGGGTCGTACAATTCTTTTTCTTCTTATGCCACTCAATTAAGGTAGCGTGTATGTGAGAATTTCTTCTTAGCACTCACAGTTTCCCATCACAACAACCTATTCTTTTCTCTTCTTTAACACTTTTTCTTTCTTTAATTCTTTATTGTTTTTTCCTTCTTTCTCTTTATTCTTAAAATGTTTTATTTTTAAAATTCTTTATTCTTTCTGAAGTACTACATATATACAAATATATGCATATGGATGACTCATGCTTAGAATTCTTACTTAAATGCACTCATTAAATGCAAATATGCAATGTTGCATAAAATTAAGGTTTCTACTCGTGCTCATGCTTCTCTTAGGCATTTCATCAAACAATAAATGTGTATATGCAAACTCTACTACTTCTCATACTCAAATATATCCAACAACAAGTATAAATAATCACCAATCTCATCTCAATTTCCCAACAATCATAACATATATATGCTTACAGAAAACTCTACTCAATTGATTTCTTAAACTTTAACTTGAGTTGAATTTTGAGTTGGATTTACTTACCTTCTACTTAGTCTCCACTAAAGCTCTCTACTCTTGTTGAACTCAAATTTTCCCTTACTCCTAAGCATAAACTCAATAAGAATTCAACTTCTACATAAGTAAATCTTATATATAGAGCAAGAATTCTTACCTCCTGTTGCCTAGAACCAAAACCTTGTCAAAATCCACTCAAAAGCCCTCAAAAATCCTTGGAAAATTGAGAGAAAATGGAGAAGGAAAGTGGCGGTGGAAGAAGAGAAATAAGGGGGTTTGTAAGACTAAACCCTTAATATCTTATTTTACAAACATACTTTCCCATTTTGCCCTTACACTTTCTTAGAAATTTTATCTTTGTCCTCTAGTCAATTACCATAATGCCCTCATTTTTATTGCATTCTCCATGAAATTCTATCTCTTTTCACTCTCTACAATTTCAACTAATTTTGAGTGAAAAGACAATTTTATCCTTAATACAAGTTTAAGGCATTTTCTTCACATTTTTTCAAAATAACTTTAACTAAAATCAACTAATGGCTATAAAAACATAAATTAAATTACATATCTCCGTGTGGGCGTTACATTGAAATCTAACAAAAATACCCTTAAAAATTATGTTAGTCCATATAGGTTTGAAATCTTGCAAAAAAACACCAAATTCCACCATTGCCGTTGGCAAATAGGGCTTGTTTCCAACGAAGACAACACTCCAGCTCACCATGAAAATGCTTCCCTTAGCCTCCTGACCAAAACTCATCTCACCTTTCTCCTGTTCGTCTCCCCAATTGCCTACGACAATGGGCTTTTTTCAGCAATATTGTTTCGTGATTCTGGTCGATTCACTCACCAAAAATCATTGTTGTTGCCATCATTGCACTCACAGACCATTTTCCTTCAAAAGCTTAAACATTATAGCCTTCAATTGTTCATAAATTGACGTCCTAATTTTTAAAGTTTTTAATGAATAGGAAATTTGTAACCCCACTCGGTGAAGGCTCTGGTCCTGGTTTAACTGGCCGGACCGCGTTTTAAAATACTAGCTGATATTATGAAAACAATATTTTGTCTGTGTGAAATCCAATAAAAAAAAAAAAAAATTGTAACAGCAATAATTTTTGTGAAAACCGCGTATTACCCAAAAGATCGTCTTTTTTTCAAACCCGCCATCTCGACTAACGGTTTCTGTTGTCAGGTCATCGTCTCCATTGATCAAACCCAGCAAAGCCATGGCCACCAATCTCCCATCTCTCCAAACCCCACAAACCCTCTTTGCTTCCGTTGACATGGGCACGAACTCTTTCAAGCTTCTCATCATTCGAGCTTATCCCAGCGGAAAGTTCTTCACTTTGGACCGTGTTAAAGAGCCCGTGACTCTTGGTCGCGACTTTACGTCATCTTTGCACATCTCCAGTGAGTCATTCTCTCGCTCAATTGAATCCTTACTTAAATTTAGAACCTTGATTGAAGCTTACAAAGTGGAGAAGGATCAAACACGTGTTGTTGCAACTGCGGCTGCACGTGACGCTAAAAATAAGGAACAGTTTGTTAAGAGTGTTGAGGAGAATGTTGGGTTTGAAGTTGATGTGTTGAGTGGTGAAGAGGAAGCTGAATTTGTGTATCTGGGTATGCTTCAGTTTTTGCCGGTTTATGATAAGTTAGTTTTGGGGATTGATATTGGAGGTGGATCCACCGAGTTTGTTGTTGGGAAGAGAGGGAAGATTGTGTTTTGTGAGTCTTTGAGGTTGGGGCATGTGGGGTTAAGTGAAAAGTTTGGAACTTCTGAGGGTGAAGTTGAGAAAATGCGGAAGTTTATTAGGATGGTTGTGACAGAAAGTGGGTTGGTTGAGAGAGTGAGGGAGAGTGGTTTTGAGGTGGCTGTTGGTTGTTCTGGTACTATTAGAGCTCTTGAGAAAGCTGTTTTTAATGGTTATGATCAGAGGTTTGTGGATAATGTGGGGGTTTTGGGGGTTTGTAAGAGGGATTGGAGGTTGAGTAGAGAGGGATTGAAGAGTGTTGTTGAGAGGTTGTGTTCTGGGGGAGGAGATGGAGAGAGGGTTAGGAAAGAGAGTTTTTTTAAGAGGAGATCAGAGTTTATTGTTGCAGGTGCAGTGTTGTTGGATGAGATTTTTGAGTTACTTGGGATCGAAGAAATGGAGGTTTCTGGGTATGGATTGGCAGAGGGTGTTATTGCTGATAGTTTGGCTAAGATCTTTGATGGATATGATTTGAATGCGAATGCTAGGTGGCGGTCTGTTGTGCGGCTTGCAATGAGGTTTAGCGGTACAAAGAAGATGAAATCTGCTGCACAATGTGCCAGCATTGCCAAGGTACTTTGAAATTTTATATATTGGACACTTCTACTAGATGTTTGTTGTTCAAAGATGTTGCATCATTATGGAAGTGAAAGGGATTCATATTTTAGCTTTAATTGTGCCCCTGAAATTCACTTATTTGCAGCTTTGATATGTAGAAATTCCTTTGAGGATTAGTGTCATCTTGCGAGTTAATGTTGGATAAATGTTACTTTAGGCAGAATTATTCTTAAAGTTTTTTCCAACTTCACATCATTTTGCACAATGTAAATTGAACCCTTGTATAATATTGGAAGTTACTATGTGACTCTACTGATGCGTTGTCGTTTCACAAGTTTCGCAAACTGAAAACCTGATCAGAAACAAAACATTCTGCCTCTTATGTTTTATTTTGAATTGAACTATTGCAAAGGATTACAAGTACAATCTGATAAGTTGGACCAAATGATTGCTGCAGGATATTTTTGACGGTTTAAGAAAATGTGATGAGCTTGCCAACATTCAAGTTAAACTTGGTGTCTCTTTGGATAACAAAGATCTTGAATTTCTTGAAGCTGCTTGTTTGCTTCACAATATAGGACTTTTCATTAGTAAAAAGGGCTATCATAAGAAGTCTTGTGAAATCATTATGGTACGTGCAATTTTCTTTCTGTGAGATGTATTCCTCCGTAGAATGTTCTAATGTGCATGTAATATATCAGACTACTCGTGGCTATTAGCAAAGTCAGTGAATACTCACTGACTACTGAGGACCACCTAAGAAGTATAACTTTTGAATTTTTACACTCCATAATGAGTTATCTTTTGTTTTGTTCTTCAACCTTTAATCCTGAAAACTTCATCTTTTCGTATAGAATGGTGATCATCTTTATGGATACAGTACTGAGGAAATCAAGGTATGTTTTCTGCCTATTGATTGTGGTCTGTCCTAATTTTGTACAATAAACCTGTTCTGTATGCTAATAAGCATTAACATAATTTGCAGTTAATTGCACTGCTTACTAGATATCACCGGAAGAAATTCCCCAAGTTTAGTCATTCTTCTTTAAAGGAGTTTTCTGGAGAGGTATCTCATCTATATGTTCTGCAAAATGTTGTCATCAATTTAAATATTGAAGAATTCTATTATCTTCAAGTTTTTCATTACTAATATCTCATACTCTTATCAGGTAATCCAGAAATTCAAAATGCTCTGTGCAATACTGCGCTTATCTGTTATATTACAGCAGAATGAATCTGTGAACCTACAGGAGATGGAAGTTTTTCATTCTCATGAAGGTTTTAAGCTGGTATGTTATGTCATAGTGCCCTTCTACTTATTTTTCTTGAAAAGAAACTGATATTTAGTTGTTCCATTCCACAAAGTCCATGCTGCTTGATGTTTGCTTTACTTTTATGTAAAACATTAGTCAACATTGTTGTTATCTAGTTGAGATCAAAACATAGAATTCATAACTGCCTTTTTCTTCACTTTTGCATAGGTATAATACTACTCATGGTTTGAGAAGGGATATGTTTGGTGTTGCCGGACATCCTTGATAGCTTTCAATAAATTTGACAGACGAGTTTTTATCTTTGGATTTCATTGTTTAGGCACATTAGAGAAGAGGGTCTGGAGGATATTGTTGTAACAATCCAATATTTCTCTGGTAACAGATATAGTAAGCATAACTATACAACAAAAAGGAGGTATAGGAAATTATCATGGCACATGTGCTGGGTGAATGGAGTTACAAATGTTTCAACTCTTCTTGGGATGATATTACTAGACAGAAATAATCCAATAATAGGATTTTTGGCGAGGAGAGAGAAGAAAGCAGTAGCGAGTTATGATATCAGTTTGTCTTTTTTGCTTTTCATTGGGCTTCGGTTGCTAAGAAGATTCATAATTGTTCTTTTATTCTTTATGTATCTTAAGTTAGGGAGGGAGTCTGGATTTATGTTGTATAGTTTATGATCACTTTTGTATAGTGGAGGGATGGTTACTCGCTGCAAACAGGGGTATAGAATCCGTTTTCCCTCTCCTGATACTTTGTTCTCAATGGACACCCAGTACACAATTGTACCTCCTTACTTCTTACTAATTTAATACAAAGTTTATAGTTTCTTATTTAAAAAAAAAAGAAAAAAAGAAAAAAGAAAAAAGGAGATATACACAGAAATTTGAGGGAAAAAGAATCTATTTTAGAAATTCAGCCAATCAGCTTATAGGTCTCATAGCTTGTGTGAGATCTTGTGATTGTATAGCAGGAGTTCAAAATATGCTGTTCCTTTCTAGTTTTTTCCCATTCTAAAGTTTTACTTCACCATTACTAATAGCTAGGTTAATATCATAAAGCTGCCTAGGAAATCACCCTCTTTTTGCATTGACCCCGAGGCCTCTTTGACAGGTAATCCAGGAAGTGAGGGATCGACCTTCTTTGCATGGTATATCACTACCCACAACTGAAGACATTGGCCCAGAACTAAGGCAAGAGTTAGAATACTTTAACAAGGTATGTTTCTTCAACCACGTACTAGAATTAATATAATTAGATTTCCTAACTTAACATTATTTGTTCTTTTTTCATTTTCAGGTATTCAAGCAAGAATTATTGATTATAGTTCCATCATCCAGTTCAAGTAACTCAATAGATAAAGCTACTTCTGCAAGAGATGTTGATCACTTGTAAAAATATATAAGCTCATACTACTTCCTCATAACCACTTCAAGTTTAATAGCCTTAGAGAGGAGCTGCACTCAGCTTGTAGGTACTGCTCTTGTTCAACAAATAAAATTTCTGCAAGTGACTTGATATAGATGATGCCTTGTTCAACATTCTAATTGAATAGTTTTTCTATCATCTTCAATGAGCCAAGGCTCGTGCCTATTTCACTTTGTAAATTTATTTCGAACAACACTACACATATAAAAATTATATACAAACTCTTGTAGTATGTGGTTAATGAAAAGAAATGACAATAAGAAGATAGTCTTATGTCAGTGCATACATAGAGTTTGTATATATAGTATAACTTGGTCGTTTATATGGTTTGGAGCTAATGTCAGGATCTTGGCTGGGAAGTGTTGTGCTCAACTTTTGACCAGTCTACAGAAGAAATCAAACCGATATTCCCAGTGAGCTAAGTCAGGAGGTTGGTTTTCTTGACTTTCTTTTTACTGTTTTGTGTGTTCTTTGCTTAGGATTTAATTGGGGAGTGGTTCATTGTACTTAAAATTCCGATAGTTGTTTGCTAAATTTATTGTTGAAAATTTCTTAATGATTGTAACTTTATCTGTTATATAGGATGATGATGATTCTACTCGGGAGAGAAGTGGGTCGAAATCCTTTTCCGATTGCTGCTCTTATGTTTAGTTCCCTGTCACATCTGTGAATTGAGAGCACTTGCAGAAACACAGAGTAGGAGCAGACTTTTCAGGTTGCGGATTTCTGTACAAAACTTGAAGAAGCCGAGTTTCTTGGAGGGAAAGGAGGTGCCGATCCGGGCCATTTTCGATATGTAAAAGGTTAGTTTCTTGACATCGAGGCTAACCAATGTGATATTCACCCAGCTCAATCCTACTTAAACCAACCCAATTAAAATTTCTGGATCAGCCCTTGGACCGAAGACATCTACTACTCTTTGTATCTACTGCTCATCACATGGCCCTGATCCAGTATGTTAGAAAACAAATTTTAAATCAGGAGATTGTTTTCCTGTTTTCTGTTTTTGCTTTTGTGTGTTATAATGATGTTTTCCAAATTATGACGATTGTACAGTTTCTTCTTTTCAGTGAAATTCTTAGGTGAGACGGACTTATCACGTCATCTGTTTCCATTTTGGTGTTACACGTTTATTACAATCATCTTTTCATGCAACATATTACATGTAACGATGCGATTCAGGTTTCAATTATTGAGGGTCACCAACTTAGTAAAAAACTAACAAGTTTTTTGTTCTCCAGACACTGTAAAGTTCAATAAGAACCCTAGTTTTGAAGTTTTGAATTTGTATTGACGCTCCAATAATGTTACCAATTTTTTGGATCCAAGTACCAATATTTTAGTTACATGTAACAATGTTTTAGTCAATATATCATATAAAACAGTGACCCTAAGCCTAGATTTATATGATAGGCTATGGTAATGGTTTTTGATTCAGATAGAACTGATTAAAAGTCACTGGATGCTCTGATGTGTAATGTCAGCTTGTGCTTTTTTCTTTGCCCTAGTTGAAGCAAAAGCTAGAAAGCTGCTTATGAGAAGTCACCTTCACATTTCCCAGTATGGTGGCTTAGACAGAGACCTTTCAGTGATGCCAGCAAATCCTTCCTAGTAATAGTATGAGAAATGAGATTGAGATACCAACTTGTTTGAAGTTGACAACCCAGAAGTGCTTTTCCAAGTTGAATGAAAAGATCTTTTACTTGCCATCCAAATCTCATTTTATCAGAAGTGCTTTTTCTTCCTTTTTCCCATCAATAATCCATTGGAATTGAGAAACTCTGTCATGTGCTTCTCAAAAGCTGCTTTTTTTCTAGTCTATAACTGTTTTATTATGCTTTTTCTCCATTAATTAATTCCCCACATTAATACACCAAAGACATTATGTGTGATAAATAAGCAAAATTATTTGTGGAATTATTCATAATGTCTTGATTGCTCCATTGAAAAAGCTTCTTTTTATTTCATTGTGTTCGAACACGACTCGGTTAACAAACTGAGTTCGAGTCGAGTCGATCAAGCCTTATCGAGCCGAGCCCTAAACAAGCTTTCATTGAGTCTCGGCTCAGCTCATTTATAGCCCTAGGTGGATGGGGTGTTTTTGTTAATTTTTAAACTTTTTTCTAGGGGTATTTAATGAAATTAATAAACTTAAGGGATCTAAAAGTAATTAAAAAAATATACTAATATTTCTCAAATAACAAAACAAGTATTTTGGGAATAGGATTTGGAATATGGATAGAAATAATAAGCCAAACGGAGCCTTTAGGGCTGCAATTGTGTTGAGCCGAACTGAGTATTGAAAAGCTTGAGCTCAGCTCGGTTGGAATAGTTGGAGCTCAAGCTTCAATTCGTTCAGTTAAACTATTTAGTTATTTTTAATTATTAATAATTTTAATTTTTATGTATAATATAAAATGTTATATAATATGTCGAACTCAAGTAAACTCACAAGTTGTTGGAGTCGAGTATTATTAGGTTCGAACTCAGCTTGACTCGACATGTGAGCTACTCGAGCTTTGACTTGAGTCGTTTGGAGGCCTATTTGTATACTTCACGGTTGATAATTTTTTCCTATTATCAATAATTAGTGAATTGTTCTTTTATAATAAATATTCTTTAATATTAACTATTATGTTTTTTTATTGTAGATTTTATTATAATATTCGGTGGATATATAAATCGATTGGTCGGATATAGTTAAAAGCTAACAACTAATCATTTATCTTTAATTGAATCATCGTTTATCTTTGGTCAACATGTTAAAACTTCATAATGACGTGTCCATACAAGTATCAGTGTCAACGTTCCACTTCCTTAATATATTTTCAAAACCTTCTTAAAAATATTACAAAATCTTTTAAAAATATCAAAAATCTCATTACAAATGTTAAAAACTCATATAAAAATTTGAATATTTTATTTATAATTTAGTTAACTTTAATTATAAACAAATAATTGAATTATTAATTTTTAGTTTGCACTTTATGACGTATCTTGTAAATAAGGTTTCGTTTGGTTCACTTTTGGGAATATTATTATTAGTATTTTCAAAAAAATTAAACAGTAAAATGTCATTATTCTCAAAATATTATTCTATATTTTTTAATTTCTTTTAAACCTCCTAAATTTGTTAATTTAACTGAACACTCCCAAATATTTTTTTTAGAAATTGTAAAAATACTCTAGCCACCCTCTAACAGTGTTGGCCGGCTGTCTGTATTTTATGGGTGGGTTAGGGTTGTTTTTGTTAACTTTTAATATTTTATTATGAGGGTGTTTAGTAAATAAACAAACATATGAGATATTTTTGATAATTTTTAAATCTTACATCGTAATACCCGCCCAATTTAACTTTTTTTAAAAGATTATTCTAAAAATTATCAGAATAATGAAGCAAACAGAGCCTAAGATATTTTATATTTTACCAAGAAACCCCTAACGCACCCATTAAATACGACGGTGGTGGCCGATTGTCAGTATTTAAAGGGTGAATTGGGGGTGTTTTTGTTCACTTTTAATATTTTACTATAAAGATATTTAGTAAATAAACAAATATAGGAGATATTTTTGATAATTTTTAAATCCTACATCGTAATAACTGTCTAAATTTTTTTTTTTTCAAAAGATATTTTATACCAGAATCTTAAAATATTTATGTTGATAACTTTTTCAGATACATTATTTCGTATAAGATCCGATACCGTTGACGTGTCAATTGGTCAAGCACGGCCCCCTTTCATGAGACTTGACTATGGGAAACGTGTAATAATGTACTTGCCATTTTTATTTTTATTTTCACGACCCTACTCTGACAAGTCAAGAAAAAAATTGACTTATTTACTAATTAAATTTAAAAATAAATAAATTCATAGATATTTTCTTTTGAACCAAGTTTTTATTAAATTAACTATAATCGGGTGGCCGGAGCATAAAAGACCAAAAAGTAGGTTTTATGAGTTTTTGAGTTCGAGTATTTTCAGGTATTAATAAGAGTAGTTATTAGGGTTCTTACTCGATCGATAATTTTAGGTCTAAAAGAATCAGGTTGAGGTGTACGCAAGCTAACCTGAATACCCTCGATCATTAAAAAAAAAAAAAAATCACTGGATGACCTAGTGGTAGAAAAGCAAAAGGAGGTCTCATTAGTTCGTGAGTTCAAGTCTTTCCAAATATTAATAGAGATAACTACTGAAACTCTTATCCGGTTGACAGTTTTAAGGCTAACGGATTAATTGAGATGCGCGCGTAAATTGACTCAAACACTTATAGTGATAAAAAAAAGTTTTTATTCAATTTTTTAATTTAAAGAAATAAAAAAAAATTATAATAGTTTTGAAATCCTTAAAAGGGAAATGTAAGATAAAGATTTAAGATTTACAGTTTAGGATTTAGTAAACATATAGATTTTGGCCAGCTTTTATTTTTTATTTCTTTCTAAAATTTTTATTTTCCATTTATGATTTAATAACTGACTTTATTTTAATTTTTAAATTTATTAACCTTAAATTAATATAAACCAAACTAGGGTTGAAAAATACATTTAATAAAGTTTGGGTGTAAAAATGTTATTCAACCTCGTTAAAAATTATAAAATCAAATAGTAAACGGAATTATATGGCTGTGTTAGTTTTATTATTCAAAATGTTATCTTATTCAATCCTATTCAAAATACATATTTGTTTCACTATTTTCAAAATCTAATAATATTCTATTCAATTCAAAATATTTTTTTAACCCCTAGGCTTGTTAATTTAACTAAACACCCCCAATAATAAAAGTTTATAAATTGACAAAAACACCCTCACCCCGCACATATTCCCAACAGTTAGCCACCATTGTCGAAATGTGGTCAGAATTTGTCGGAATGGTGCACAACTAGTTGGATGTGGTCGATCGTGCGTCGATCTGACCCTTTTCGGTCAAATCCATGATGGATCTGGCTGAAAAAGCTAGATCTACAGCCAAAGATTTAGATTTCAAGTCACATCTAGTTGTCAATGACGGCCAATATATGGTCGTTGTCAATGACCAGATCTTTGACTGTAGATCTGACCCTTGTTGGCCATATCCATGGTGGATCCAGCCAAAAAAAAAGCTAGATCGATATACTATTGGAGAGATCCAGTCGGTCGTGTGCCATTCCAACATCTTTTGGTCGCTGTCCGGCAGTGGTGGCCAGCTACCGGCATTTACTGTATGGATATGAGTGTTTTTGTTAATTTTAAAACTTTTATTAAGGGGGGTGTAGCTAAATTAACAAATATACGAGGTTAAAAAATGATATGGGTGTGTTTGTTTTATCATTTTGGGTAGGATTTCAAAAATCTTATCCAAATACATATTTGTTTCCCTATTCTGAAAAATTAATCATATTCTATTCAACTAATTTTAAACCCTCTGAGTTTTTGAATTTAACTAAACACCTCTAACAAAAAAAAGTTTAGAAATTGAGAAAAACACCCCCACGCACCCATATTTGTCAGATTCTGACCACCACTGCCGGAAAATGGCCATAATTTGGCATACTGGCACACTACCAACTAGATCTAACCCGTAGTGCGCTAATCTAACATTTTTCGGCTAAATCTACTGTGGATCTGACCTTTTGGCCAAAGGTCTAGTAGTTGATGGTCAGATCTACAGCCACATCTGGTCATCAATGATGGCTATATCTTTGCCCGGAAAAGGCCATATTAGCACATGAGTCAGTCGTGCGCTATTACATCAGATTCTGACAAATGGAGATGGGTGAAGGTGTTTTTATCAATTTTTTAACTTTTATGTAGGGGTGTTTAGTAAATTAACAAACCTATATGATATTTTATTAATTTTTAAATCCTATCTAGAATAACAGCTCAACTCAACTTTTTCAAAATCCTACTTAAAATAATAAAACAAACACACCCACTCTTTTCATAACTTTACACCTAACAGATTCCATTGGCGAGATTGACTAAGGGTAGAAATTTGTTTTTTTCTCAACATTTATAGGTGCAAAAATGTAATTAAGACATTCACTCATAATAATATGATTGTTTATCGTTGACTCAGATTTTAATTAATCTGATGTTGTTTTATAAACTATTTGCCTTTTTGATAAACATATGCTTTACTAATAGTCACATTTTTTTATGATTAGAAGTCTAGAATTACTTTACCATAAAAAATTTACATGAAAATGATCTCAACCGTTGAATTTTAGTTTTGGTCTTTGACATTAATGTTTTTGTTTCCATTTATTATTTATTTATTTATTCATTCAATTAAAAATGATGTGAAAAGAGAATAGGAAACACAAAGTCAATAACTATTTTTATAATATTATTTTTTTTATTGATTTTTTATACTGGAGGTTGTACCTGTCACTGGATCTATCTAACTAACAACCTTATCCACTGGTTTTAATCAGCTACACTAGTCTCCATGCCATATGCATGGACCGCTATGGTATATGGACCGTTTTGCCCTTCACTTTTTCGTGGTTTATGATGTAAACTCNTGGTGCGCTTTTTCGGTAGCTGTAGCATTGCTCAAACTTATTTTGTTGTTTATTCGCTTGGCTTGTAGCATGATGGTAAGACTTTAGGTTATCTAGAGGTTTTGTGTTCAAAACCCACAAAATGACCACTTACCACGTTTGTGGCTTATCTAACGGATTACTTTTAATTGAGGTGCGCACCAAATAACAGGTTGGTGATTTTGTGAGGCATCATAGAATAGTTCTCATTTTTATTACAATTTTCTTTCTATAAATTCTCACCATATTATATATATTAAATAAAATAAAATTATCTAATTAATTTATAGTAAATTTGTGTAGATTTTACCATCTATAAGTTGAACAATG